TTGTTTTTTTGTTTTCTTTTATGTGTTTTTAGGTCCTTGTGATGTTTGTTTTGGAGAAATTTTCATGGGTGTCTTTTTATGTTGGGGTTTTGTCTTAAAGTGATATTCTGGCATAAAATTAAGTTAGGTTCAAACACACCATAACACTGAGTTAGACACCCCCTCGAGAGATGAATGTTGCCGACTGCTGCTTCTCTAGTTATACCAACTTTAGTAATGCCCGCAAGATAGCAATACACAGCGGTTTACCACTTCAAACGCAAACCTCAACCAAAACGCCACTTTATAGCCACAAATAATGCCCAGAACAGCACCTAACTTCATCAACAGTACATATAGGGTCCCAGCCATAGTACTAGCCACCAAACATCTTTTTAGCTTTCCCTAATTTCTTTAGCAAAGAGACCAAACACAACTCTTCAGCAGCTGCTTGTTTGTTGGGGAGCCCCAACGAGTTGATCACCGAGTGCAGGGGGTTATTTCCCTAAAGTAATAATCATCATAATAATCATTTTGCACTGCAGACGTGGTAGTTCTTCTGCCTTAACGTCTTGGTCTGACTGCATTTCCATGAAGTAATAATCATAAATGTTCCTTGAGCTGTGGAACGCCGCTGTAGTCGGCAACATTCATCTCTCAAGGGGGGGTGTCTAACTTGGTGTGACGGTGTGTTTGACCCTAACTTAATTTTACACCAGAATATCCCTTTAAGCTTTTTTGTTTTCTATGCATATTTTTAAAGCATCTTGTAAGTCCCTGATTTTATTTGTGCAAAACAAAAAAATGTATTATTACATTTGATTAGCAACATGGAACGCTTCCAAAAAACTCTTAGCATCTGTGACTATTCATTACACCTGGGTTTAAGTGAGTCAACCTTCCGAGTGTTTGGGGAAAAAAACAGTTAGAGTTGATTTCCTATGCTGTTCTCTAAAATAGAGGCTAGGTTAAATCAGTATGTGTTGTGTGTCCTTTTCTGTGTTATGCTGTGGTGGACTTTGTAAAGTGGGGAAGGTGCTGTGGAAAGAGACAATAAAGTCAAAGTCAAGGTCGGCTTTTAAGGACAAACAGACAAAAATATTTTACAATCAAGGACACAGTTTCAGGTCCAAATACATGTTACACCTCTGAGGCAATAGGAGAGAAGCCTTCTTCCATGTTATCCTGCTGCTTTGTTTTCTGGGATAAGCTTTTATTGGCTACTCATTTCCTAATTCGCTGACTGATTTCCATTGGAAGAAGTTTGTTTCATAAACCATGTGAATGATAAAGGAGACTTTTATATTCTATTTCATCTTGACGCCTAGGTTTGCGTTACCCATCAGACACAGTATAGCTTGTTAAAATGGTGTTGCCCATCACTCTCACTCTCTAGAAATTCCTCACACATCCATCCTTCTCTGATAAGTTTGTTCTCTTGTTTCTTTTTCTGTGAGTCTGTATCCTTTGTGGTCAGATAACAATGCATAGGAAGACACATCTCTGTGGAGCTAAGGTTCTTTCTGTCACCTCCAGCCCCTTTAATAAGCTGTTTTTACTGCTGTTTCTTTGTGTATGGTTGTCTCTGACAGGGTCAGGCCTTTGTAGTTGGATAACGCGAGCTCCTCCGGCATGTCAACCTCCACTAGCATTAAAGTGCAAAATTGTGAAATGCTTTCAATGTTTCTTAGTCTGAGGGAGCTCTTAATAATAACCTGCTGTAGATTACATGCTCTCACATCTGCTGAATATTTAAACAAATATCTGTTTCGTATGGAGGATGTACTTTTTCACTCACCTCCAAGTATTTGTGTTTGTGTATTCGTAATTCTACTAACAATATGTTTGGCAAAACTAAATCAGGGTTGGTGTCAATTATAAATCATAAAAAATTCTTCACTGTCTTGTGGCATCTCAGCTCCCCACTGAACCATAGATCTCCCCACCAACCACTTTGATCAGCCCACACAGCCTCAGGACGAGTGCATGAGGGGGCTAAACAGGCACCATCTTTTGGCCAATATACTCCATCCAAGTTCACCATTTAGCCCATCAAAACTACAAAGAGTACCAGTGAATTTATAGCTCTTATTTTTTTATCAGTCATGTTTGGGAGCAGTCTATTTTCAGTGAGCAGAGATTCTTCTTTACCCCAGCGTTTAAAAACCCAAACAGCTTTTTGACAGTAAGGATCTTTGCAACTTTGTCAACACCAAAAGTAACGTCAGCTTTATCCTGAGCGCACCTTTGACATGATGGTACACAGGATGTCAAAAAGGTAAGTGAGAAAGTTGTCAGTTTGTCATGCAGCTTAATGTTATCTATTCTTATCTTAAATCACACCCTGCACTTTTGTGACAGGGCTGGAAAAGTGGGCATTAAATATGTATGTATGTCACTGCTGTGACTTTGACACCACTGCCTGGCTTTCATCAAAGCTACGTGCATGCTAATGCAGTGTTTGGCGGGTTTTGCATCATCAAAAGGTGAATTTCATACACATAAATTTGCACTCTTACATCAGTCAATAATACTGCTATATTTTCTGTTGTAGGATTTCTGTCACGTCCTTGGCTATAAGCATTGCAGAATCTATAACTCTGTGATTGGATGGTTACATGTCAGCTGTCAGTCATCAGCCCCTATAAGTGTGTGGACAGGATCCCAGTCCTAACTTTGATATGGAAATACCTTGACGGACTCAATGAACTGTCAGACATGACAAGGAGAGGCAGGCTCTGTCTTGTGTGAAAACATGTTAATACATATTAAAACATTCATGTGTATTAATGTGTTATCATGATGTAAAACTGAAGAAGGTACATAACCAACACAAGACCAAAGACAAACCTTTTACTTTATCGTACTGTAAGACTACAGTGCTCACATGTTCAGGCATAACTTTTCACAGTTAGGGTTGGTAATGAGAAACGAATTGATTTTTTAAATAATTTGGAAAAATATAAAACCCAGGTGTAACACAGATTTATTTTGGAATTTGTTTCTTCAGCTCTTTGAGGTGATCCTGATCCTTGATAAGAATCAAAATGTATTTCTGTTGTTTTCAAACCAGCAGGACCAAAGATCTTAGGATAAAAAGTAAATGATAAAATTCAAGATTTTCTCTCCTCTTAAAAAAAGTCTCTATCTTATAATGTATCATATTAAAAAAAACATTTCACCCTGTTTACTTGAATCTGCAATCTCATTTTTAACTGCCCAAGATGATGAACCACATTTTGGTGATTTTTTTAAATGCTGTCAAAAACCACAAAGCCAAATGACATTTAATGTAATTTATGCCATTTCAAGTGTCAATTGATGCTCATTTTTAACCATTGCTGCATTTTGTTATTGTTCATAGTTAATGATATTTCTAAAATAGATTATCATCACATTAAACTCACAGCATTGTATCTTCTGTCATTTACCCAAACACAGATCAAGCTGAATTTTGCATGTCTAGATCATGAACACAAATACAAACTAGGGCCCCGTTGGGGCACTGGCGGGCCCGAGCCGTGTCGCGCCGCCCCCAGCGCGACCGCCTCCCTCTCCCGATCGCGTCACACTCAAGGTCCAAAGATGGTGTGCGCACCTGTCTTTGGTCATTTCCCATTATAATGAATGGGAGGCGCAGTTTCTACCAAAACACTCGCTGCAGACAAACTACATGTCCTATTTGAAAAAAGTCTGGACCATGAGTGAGGGCACAAAGACAGCTAGGATATATCCAAATGGCAAGTTGCTCCTCCTCCTGTTGCCGGGAGAGCGATGCGTTTCAGCCATTGAGCAAGTAAGCAAGTAAGTTTTACTTCACCAACAAAAGAGGCTAAAATATCTATACAGGAATGAAAACAGGTTCCAATCCTCTAAAATAATCTGAATCACAATTAAACAATAAATCAAGGTAATAACACAGTTGAAAGTTCAACAATTGCTTTTATTTTTCTTCTATTTATATCAACTTTTTAAAGATTGCTTTGAATGACATCTGTAAACACAGCTTTATATCAACAATACAGTAAACAGCTTTAAACCTGTACCACCTTTGGTAAAAAAAAAAAAAAAAAAACAGCAACATGCTGACAAGTGCACTTTTGTATTCCTGAGTAATGTTATTCAAAAATCAGTAAATAAAATGTATAGACAAAAATGTCAAGTGCAAAGTGGCTTCAATGAGCTCAAAAACCTGAAAGGGTAATAACTAGCAATGGAGCCTCTAGTAACTTGCTGATGAACCCATAATTTCAGTGGAGTGTCTTATTTAAGTGAACAATAAAAAAACAGCAGAATCCACTCCTACATTTGCATGCATGTTCTAAGTCAACAACAGATTTTTGAGACTTTGCAATTTTGGTGGGAGTTTGTTCTCTCCCAAGCCAAGCAACACTGTTTGAATGAATCCAAAAGTGTTTTTCATGGCTCTAGGGTAGTCCAAATGTAAAGCGTATGACAGCCCAAACAAAAGGCAAAGTGCCTCAGGTAGGTTCTGGAGAGCATCCATTAAAATACCTCCCTCAACAATGATGGCAGTAGACACTGGGTGAAGGTGGAGTATGTTTGGAATGAGTATCTCATTTTCGTTGACAACAGTCAGCAGCCCGACAGACACTTGTGCCCAGGTCTCATCTGTGTCACAATCCTGTGATGAAACCAAACAAAAACCATCACATTACAACAAGGAAATTTTTTAAATCCTCAATTCAAAATTGTCACCATTTCAAGTGTCCTGTCGACACTTTCTTCCAGCCTTGTGCGTTAAAGGAATACTCAGATGATCTGGGAGTTGACAGTTTCTCATTTTCATAGTGAGACAACATGATCAATACCTTTTTTTATAAATAAACAGAGAATAAACAGAGTGCAGGTTTGCTTCATGTGAAATTGTTTTTTTTTTTTTTTCTTTTTATTGTATAACAACTGTAAATGCTGTACATGTTTTAATCTGCCTCCCTGACATGTTTTCAGAATCACATCACAATGTCATCTTGCTGGTAGTGAACATTTTATTGTAGGATTTACGACTTGTCCTGGGAAATCCTTTTGATCCCGCTCTTTTCTAGTACATTCCGGGAGAGATTGCCAAAGGTGTCTCCACACATGAACTTATATCCTGGGATGTGTCCCGAGAATGACGGCACCATCCTACTGTCTGTGGGATAGATGGTGGACTTGGTGACTACCGAACTGTCCTTTCTCCCTGAGTTATTTTGGGACCTGGGGTCAGTCCGCTGCTGCTCTCCAAACTGGATCAGAGCCTGGTTGGTGGTGACGGCGTAGCCTTTGCCAAACAGGAAGCGAGATTTCGGCACGTGTCCAGAGAATCCTAAGATAAAGTGCTTGTTCGGGTCATCATCATCCATGACGTATGGAGTTCTGAGGGGTGTAAAAGGCTTCAAAGGCTTGTAACGGAAAACTGTGCCGGAGGTTGCCGCCAAAGAGGGTCTTAGTCTTTCAGGATGTGGGTTGGTGTGGTAGACAAGAGCTGGCAGGTCTGATGATGATCGTTGCGTCCTTGTGCGTCTCTCCTGGTTGAACTCAGATATCGCTTTGCGACACGTGTCAGAGTAACTGCTGCCAAAGTAGTTGTGACGTTTTGGAATAAAGCCGGTGAATCCTGGTATCATCCTCAGTGTCAGAGCAGAGTCATACTCTGCAGAGGGGACGTGATGGTCACTGACGACCCGGTGAGCGGAGCATTTTATATTAGGAAGGCGGAGCATCTCAGCTGTGAGCTGGCCGTATGACTTCCCTCCATTGAATTTGAGCTGTGGGCAGTGTCCCACAAACCCCGGGATGTAGTGTGGCTCGGGTGTCAGGAGACTGTTGCTCAGTTTCGGGGTTTGTTTGTCCATCGTGACTCTGGTGCCGGAGGAAAGTCTTCTGCTCACAGAGCTCCGTGTTTGCTGGTTGCTCCGAGTTCATTATTTCTCCAAGAAAGTAAAAAACAAAATATGTATTTTTAGGTGGGAATAGACCAAACGGGAGGAATAAAACCGAATAAAACGCTAAACAATGACCATTAATAATAGAGGATGTTGTTGATATTCGTTGATAAAATGTGAGAAATTCATGTTGTATGCTCAATGGCGCCCTCCATGTGAAATTGTTAAATAGGTAAAAAACACAGACAAAGCTCTGTTACTGTTTATATTCGATCAGCGTTATTACAGCCAGATGTGCAGGCACACAAATATTTGTCAGAGCTGAAGGACAGTGATGATCTGATGACGCTGTCATCACTAAAAAGCATCACTTCACATGACGCTCTGGAGGAAAGGACATCTCATTTCTCTAAAAAACAAATCTCCTCTATGCTCTGTTCATTTTCTCCATGCATCTCTGGTGGGAGGGACAAAGACGCAAGTGAACGACACATGTGGAGGAAGGATGAGACTTAATTGTTTTAGGACAGCAAGCAGCCCGTGCCAATGTTTGGACTGAACTCATGGATATATTCAGTATTACTTTTTTCTTATCTATGTCTCATTGAGACACTGGTAGATACAAATCAAATTTCCCTACAACTATGTGTGCTTCTTAAAGATGTTCCTATGAGAACTTACGAAGCAGGTGTTGTAAAAGTCTGTGGTGTCATCACCAAGTAGAACAGGGAGGCCTTGGAGTACTATGGTGCGCATTGCTGTCACATCTGGTTTCTAGAAGTGGATAATGAATAAATTAAGCTCTAGATAATGCAGCACTCAAAAGCTACAGCACAAAAATTCCTTTAAAAGTCAATATGAAACAAGTGTCACAACTGACTTACTGATTTTACTGAGAATTAATTTTTAAGAAACACTCAATCCACAACTGTAAAAGAAAGTACCAACATAAGTTTGATGGTGGTTGTAATTTGTACTTATATTGTACCATATGCACTGTATATTTCTTGCAATAATTCCTCTGAGTTCATAAGTGGAGGCAAGTTGGACACCTGTGCTGTGATCAGACACAGCTCTTTCATATATCAGTATCAAACACATCAATACTACTCTTGCCCTTCTAGCCATTTCCTCCCATCTTCTACCCCCTATGAATTGTTACAAAAAAAATATAAGCAGCAAAACTGCAATCACTATTTAAAGTCAACTTGCAATGAGAAATAAAGACAGAAGAAGCCTTTCATAGACTCACCCCTGCATCAATTTGTCCCACCAACTGTGTCAGGGTCTGTCCCATACTTCCTTTCTTTGCCTTGAAGATCTCGACAAGGCGTGGAGTGTGGCGGTCCAGGGCCTCAAAGAAGTCCACCTGTAGGTTCTTGGTGACTACCCTATTGAACTCCGCATACACCTGCAAAAAAGCAAAATACATGGTGACTAAATAGGGTTGGGCTAGTGTAGAAAAATACATTCAGAGCTGTTGGTAATTTAATTTTAAATACAAAAGTATTTTTTACATTTATTTTGTCTCAATACTTCTTCTGACAGAGTAGAGGGGTGGAATACTGCAAAAAAAGACTTAAGAAGGAAAAACAAATTTATTACATGATTTTAATTTCTGTGCTTACTTGTCTCTCGGTGAACAGAGCTGGCCACCGCTTCTTTAAAGTTTTCACTGGAAGTTCTGCCTCCACAATCTCTCTTCTCCGCAATGGGAAGGTCTGGTCCATCTTTGAGGCGATGACAGCTCCACTTGGGTTCCTTTTTTTCATTTCTTCAACGATGAGTTTTCTCTCAGCCTCAAGGCTCTCTTCACTCTGTCCCTCAGGAATGTCCGGTAGGTAATTCACCTCATACCTTCTGGGTCTTTTGAGACCTTTCGAAGCCACTTGTGGTCAACCTCCTTTTCTAGCATTTATTGCAACCTCTATACATCCTGCTCTTTTCAGTTTACAGCGATAGTTCCCCATTTTGAATTTTAAGCTATGCTTCCAGCCAGAACACCCATCTGGTGAACCTGGTTCCCTCAAACAGGGATGTTTACTGATCAGTGCAAGTGCCACAGATTGGAGCCGCTTAACACTTGGGTAGGTGTCAAATTTGTAAATTGTTTCAGCAAGCTTTTCCAGAATACAATGCTTCACATCTTTTGGAGGATTCCAGTACGTTTTATCCCGTAGACATGCAAGATCAGCCTGTCGCAGTCTAAATGCCACATCCACTGGGAAGTTTGGGATGTCAAAAAAACTCTGGCCATGGCTCTTGTCTCATTGACGAAGTTGGGCTGTGGGACAGAATCTCTGTATCATCTGAGGCACAAGTCAGGATCTTCATACATGAGACTGAAGTCATACTGCAGCTTGCATTTTTCCTTGATTTTGATCTTTAGTTCTTCAATCATTTCTGGTTTTCCATCTAGTGACACTTTCTGTATGTCATGGTCCGTTATGATGACTCTCAGTTTGTAGTGTTCCATGGTCCTGGAAAAAAATGAACACAACTTTATAGTCCACATACTGTCATTCAGCATGATATGTGACGCTTAAGTGTCACATACACGTTGCCTTTCACTTGGTAGGAGGATAAGGGGAAAACGTCATTCAGCTCAGATAACTGGGTGACAGTGAGAGAACCTGCACCACTGGGGCACAACTCGTAAGCCCGTAAATGTTCAACATACCACGCAGACAAAAGCCTGCAGACAAACAGGATTTCTGTGTTGATGACAACAACGTGTGTTATTTTCCTGAACTCAGGGAGACCTGCGCAACTGCCAACTGAAATGATCATATCTGTGCTGTATTTAACACCGTGAACATGAGCAGAGGATGCAACTAGCACTGTACTTTGCTTGGCATTTCGCTGATATAGCAGACTCTGAACATCGCCAGGGAAAGATGTGACCAAAATTGACCTCACTTGATCAATTTCCAAAGGAGGCTTGAAGAATGTTGAGGAGTCTAAATGAAAGGCCATCATCTTCTGGTGTCTCACAGCCAAGGTATGTGCCACATTCTTGAAGTTGCGAGTGTCATGCACCACCTTTTTAAAAAATTTATGTTTCCCCTCAAAACGCATCGTCCACACATCTACTAGTGGGCCGAAGATTTTAATCATTTGAGGGTAGTGTTCAATGAAATGATGTTTTGGACGAAGTTTGTAGTTCGGAAAGGTTTCCTGCAGCAACCCTCTATGTTCTGAGATTTTGTGGATTAACTCAAGTGTGACGACACAACCAACTCCAGGATATCTTTAAGAAGCATCAAAATCTCCCATGCTTGCTCCCCCTCAGGAATATTGTGGCCTATCATCAATGGAAGCAGTCTCAGGAGAGACCAATTTTCATGGCCATTTCCGCCAATAGTTCCCTTAGAGATGAAGGTCTTTGGAATGACCTGTGGTTGGTCAGCTTTATCAGAAAATGTATAAGGAAACTGCCTTATAGCCTTATTCAAGGAGTCTAAAGAAACATACTTCTTGGTAATCAAATCCCTCAGACATAGTGACAGTTCTGCTGGGATTATGCCCTCCAAAAAGTCATGCAGAATGTCAGGTGGGAAACCATCCACCACATGGAAGTGTGTCAGGTTTTCATTTAATGGACACACTCTTTTAACACCATGATGTCTGGCTGTATTACGGTCACGTAGAACCTCTTGTACATGTGAATCATGGTTCTCTCTTGTCCTTGGCTGGTGAAGACCTGATCGGACCTCCTTATCCTGTATGCCATCTCGCTTACAGAGACAAAACCGACAAAAGAGATCTGCTGAAAAGCTCTCCTGGAATCCTGCCAGAGAGTGAGCCCCCAGGTTGTCTGCTGCTACATACAATACAGTGCCTCTGACACTTTCAGCTAGTTGTTCGACATAAACACCATGTTCCTCAAGAGTTGCAAGATCCTTAAGGAGTGGATGAAGGACCTCTGAATAGCCATGCTCTCTCACAGCGCTGACTTTGCACAAAAGTGCTAGTTGGATGGAGTGAAGAGCTGATCGATATTTGGAGTCAAGATTAACAAGTACCCAATATATGGCACATAGTTTGTGTTTTTTCTTTGAAGTTCCCAGTGGATTAGCCACTTCAAAATCGTCGATATATAGCCCAAGAGCAATCCTGAATTCTTCCACGTTCAAGAGAACATTTTCTTAGAAATGAGAGCCATCTCTAAATGAGTGGTATCCTTCTGATGAATTCTTCTCTCCACACAGCACCTTGTCCAAAATATCCTTATTACTTAACAAAGCCTGTAGCATTTTCAGTATAGGGACATATGCAACAGACTGACTCTCTCTGTCAAGAAGAAACTCAACTGGCATTACAACTGGAAATTCTCGCAGTATATAAGATGCTCTCCTGGCAGCTGTTGATAGGGAACCTCCTTCATTTGTGTACTTCAGCAAGACATTACTTTGTGAAACTACACCTAAAATCTCACTCACTATGGAATTATCCACATCTCCACAATGTTGACTGATAATCCTCTGGACCGCACTTTGTAGTAATGGCTGCGAAAGTAAATGAATCTGGTTTATCTGCTGAATTACTTCTTGTGCAGCACTTTCAGATATGTGCAAGATTGCTTGCATTTTCAAAAAAAAGTGAAGCCAGGTTACGTTCCAGTTGGTTTTCCAAGTCCTGTATGTCCTCTACAGACTCAAACTCGTCCTCGATGTCATTTTGTAAAGGGATTTCTTTCTCTACTTCAGTCAGCTGATCTGGACCTTCAATGTTTGACATTACTCCAGTTTTAAACTGTGAAGTAGCACTCCCACTGTGTACTCTACTTTTATGTGCATTAAATGTTGCATATACACTGCTCTGAAAATTGCAGCCTTCATATGGACACAGAACTATTTGTTTAACTTTTAGATGGCTGCGTAAATGTTTGAAAAACTCATCTTCAGTGCAGGGCTCCATAAATTCACATAACTGGCAATGAAACGCAATTGTGGGTTTACTTGCTTGTCCGATGTCTGATTGAGAATGCCAAACAGATAAATGAACTTTGAGTGCATTAAAAGATTTAAAAACACACAAGCAATCCATATGAAGACATGGTATTGGTTGTTGCCGGGTAAAACAGCCATGTTTTAGGCGACAGTGTTTCAACAATTGTGCTCTTTTGTCTGCAGAAAAGAGGCACTGCTTACATTTCCAATGCATCTGCAAGAAATATTTTCAAAAGAGATTTTAGTAGTCTCTAAATTTAATATATTTAAGCAGCACCTAGTCAAAAACTGTTTTAGCCCTCTGAGCAATCCTGGAGCACTTTTTCCAAACAATGGATGTCTGGGGTAACCACAGGAAAAAACAAATAAGAGTACACTACCAAAGATGTGACTATGAGAGTGAATGAATGATGTATCCAATGTGAAGCACTTTAAGGTCACTGACAAAAAGCGCTATAAAATCTGATGCATTATTATTATTAAAGATTAAATCTCCTCCAGAATATAAGCTGCTGGCATCTCACCTCCAGTTTACTGGGCCTGCATTGAGCAATTCTTCTGTAGCTCTGAGCACTTGTTCTAAAAAGACAAAGAATACTGAAGTTACAAGAAGTTCCACTGATATCATGGTTTGTAGATTACTGACACATTCCTTAATATGTGCATGCTTCAAACAGGTATTATGGTAACATGTTTTTGATAGTAAAGCACAATTTCAGGCAAATTCAACCTGGGGGTATCATTTCCTAATAATTTTGGTTAAAAGAATTGTTTATTATTTCGTTATTGCTCATCAGTTTCAATTTATATCACAAATTTCTATACCCCGTGTGCTGAACATAATAGAAAAACACTGCAATAAAAAAACACAGGTGAGCAAGGGCACAAAATTAAGACAGCAATAGGCCATATAAACCAACTAATAAGGGAAGTATCTTACTTAAAACTCAGGCTAACAATATGGCATGAATTAATCATTTAGAGAAAAAGAGAGTGAGTGACAGCAGTTGCTGTACTGCTGAAGAAAGTTGTTTTGATTCATGAAACGTCTGACTCTTCATTTTTTATTATTTGTGTTTAGTGATGCACGATATGAAAAATTTCAACCGATACCGATAACCGATAATTTTCTTCTTCTCATGACCGATACCGATACCGATAACTGATAAATTCATATTTTTACATTTATTATAATCTTCATATAATCTGCAGTTTGTGCAGGATGCAGTGATTGAAAACTGATATTTTTGTTGCTCTGGCCTATCTAGAACAACAAACTAAAGTTTTTGGCTCTTCAAATGTTTATTTTTTCCATGTCATCACAAAAATATGTGGTCATTAGCTATAAATAACAATAACAGAGCAAAAAGCAGAACTTCATTTGACCAAAACAGTGCATCCCCTGAACTGTTCAACAGAACTGTAGACTGTAAAGGAGCTATTATGAGACGTTAGGATTAGCATGCTGACCGGACTAACATCTGACGTCCATATGTCTGTGGTAAAACTCACGTGTAGTCCGTTGTTGTCGATCAGGTTGTGAATGTATGTGGCGACAATATCATAGAGTGCAGGAAGGGACACATCCGAGAAGAAGCGGCGGCTTGGGAGAGTGTAACGTGGCTCCAAGTGTGCTATGAACTTACGAAAATCCGGGTTCTCAACGACGGAAAAAGGCTGTTGGTCGACCGCTATGAACTCCATCACTTTGTCGTTAATGGTCAGGCTTGGGACCTGCGAGTAAGGCGCGACGGGCGGCTACTCCGCCTGCAAACGTTACTCGTAATTTCATTAATATATCGGCTCTTTCTATCAGAAAAATGAACCTATCGGACCGATAAAAAATGACGTAATTTTCCCCCAAATCGGCCGATATTCTATCGCTCCGATAAATATCGTGCATCCCTATTTGTGTTCACTTTTGAACCATTCACATGAGCTATAAAGACACCGTTTGAATTATAAAATCACACAAAGTGATATCATCCCTGTCCCTATCCACGTCATGACGCTCACGGAGGATGCTGAGCCATTTAGGAGGGATTTAGATAAAATGCTCACATGTACATCGGATGAAAATCTCTCTACTTCTTCTTCGTCAGCTTTTCCTTCATTTCTCTGCTTTGTGAGAAAGCCTAACTTATACCAGTGAGCGTTTCATTCATGTTATGCGCTCTGAAGGGAGCGTTTGTTTTGTTAAATGTTTGACATAAATGATCAGACTTTGTGCGGGAGAGAGTGGGTGGCTTCTCTGTGTTAGGAACCAAGGAGAACTTGACGTTAAACTGTGTGGCTGCACCGCTGCCTCTTTGAATGCCCCGATAGGCTGGTTAGCTAACTAACGCTAGCGTTAGCTAGCGAACGCTAACAGTCGTAGCATCAAGTAAAACATTTTAAAAGATAAACTTGCGTGTTTACTTACCTTATTATTTTCCTACAATGAAGAACCGACGGCGGAAAACTTCTGTGTCCCGGCCGTGAGCTGTGTCGCTACTCGCGGAGCAGGAGACTGACCGTTGGTACTGCGCATGCTCACTTCTTCTTCTTCTTTGAATGCGCAGTCGGAGTGACACTGCTGGCTACTTATTGTTGTGAGTGAGCACAGCTCTAAACAAAGTAATCTTCACTCTAAACAACGAGACTGTGCTGGCTACTTATTGTTGTGAGTGAGAATAACTCTAAATAAAGTAATCTTGACTCTAAACACTGAGTATTTTGTGTTTTTCACCATGAAAGTAACTGTTACTTCTCAAATGCCAGTAAGAAGTGCATATTTTTGATGACCTAGTAAAGTTTACTAAGGATTTGTAAGTCAGGGTAGCTATTGGATTTTACAGTGTATGTAAGTATCCAAAAGTAGAGTCAGATTTTGATCTTAAAGGGTTTTAAACATCAAACATTCATGAAAAAAGACACAGAATCATACCCATATGAGAACACTATCATTATGTGTTTTGTGATTTAGCGATAAAAAAGAAATTAACTTGCTACATCTAGGCGACTCCAGTACTTTTCAGGTTTTTCATATTTTCCCGAGTCAAAATTCCATTGTTTCACTGTTTTATGTTTCATAAAAAAAAACATAAAATTAAAGTAACTTTGATTTAACAAGCTGCACCACTTATGTGTTACGTAAACATATGTTAGAATCATGCACACGAATACAGTTGTAACCAGTCTAATAAGATCAATTTTGGTTGGAAAAAAACTTGTGAACACACAGACTCCAAGTACAAACCATTAAGACATCATGTGTAACCATAGACTGTATATACTATGGACAACTTGGTTCCGCCTTCCGCCCCAAATAGCTCTCAGTATTTCCGGGATTTTTCTTCATTTCCTAAGACCAGCACTTAACAGTAGCGATGCGCGCATTTGGCCGCGCAGTCACCGAGAGTCGCTGTGATGACGCTCAGCTCAAACAGCGTATCCCCCCGGGAGAGCTAAATAATCCCCGAACGCCCATAGGCTGTATCAGGTGTCAATCATAGCAAACATGAACCCCCTAATAACTTTTAAAAACGGAGCTTCACAGAAAAAAGAGGACTTGAGCACAAACCAGTCTTACTGTAACTACATGTCAACATCACAAGCAGGGGGGAGAAAAAATGATGTTATGTGTGATAGATTTATAAAGTTTGTCCACAGCCCCATAAGCTTTGCTGGTGGAGGCGGGATTTATGACCTATACTGCAGCCCATCAACAGAGGGTGCTGTTCTCGGAGTGGCTTCCACCCAGCAAGGAGGCAGACTCTCTATATACAGTCTATGTGTTTAACTAAATAAACAGTCCTAGCTCTTCTTAGACCTCTTTAAATTAGTTCTTCTTCATAGAGCTCCATTACACAACTGCTTACATGATAAAAATTCATTCAGATAAAGCAGCTGGAGACTTTAACAACATTGACATAATATTAGATGTTTTATCACCATCACTGGCAATACCTTACTGTCCACCCTTGTGTTAATATAAACAGTTGTTTGTGTAAGAATACTGACAAGATTCTGAGTATGCATACCTGATTTTAGAACTATTGATATGCTCAGCTGTGTAAATATTTTTTATTTATTTATTTATTTTTTTGTGAGTGTTATGAGAGCAAGTGTAACAAAGATGCCCAACTCTCTTTAGCAACACCCTCAAATGCAGTTTCTCACAGATGGATCAGGATTTACTTGAGAAGAAACTAAAGAAATAAAGGCATTGTGTTGGTGCTAAAAAACTGGAGTTCTTCAAATATCCACCCGAGATTGACTGCATAAGCCACAGTAGCAACATACACACCTATCAAAAAACATCTTTACAGCAAAAATAGACATCTTCACAGCCTGTTTTAAAACACAGTTTCAGTCTAGGTGGCTAATTTCTTGACAAGCATATTGTATGTGGTGTGGCCTCTTTTTCTTTTTATAACTCATCAAGATATTAAGGTTATGAGCTGTGCACAACCAGGGACATGGCTGAGGTGACTGACTGGGGGGCACAATATAGCTAGGAACGAGGAGGCTAAAGCTCAGTCTCAACTCCATCTCTTTGCCTCTTGTTAAATGTCCTTGCAACCCATTTAACCCACTCCTTCAAATAAGTCTTAAAAGAAAGGCTCAATTTTAGGGCCCCGGGTAAGTAAATGCAGAACATGTTCAAGTGAGACTCATGTAACAAGATTATGTGCATTAAACATTGAGAACGTATCCTGGGGTCTTGATAAATGCGGCGGCTGAAATCAATCGTCATTAACATGTTTACGCCCTTAAATATTTGTGGTTCAGAAGCCTCGCCCACTGAGGTCAAACATGAAAGAGGAGAAATATTAGAAAGATTCGAAACTTTACCGAGCTGAAAGTGGATATCCTCACATCTGTGGTGGAAACTAACAAGGATTTTCTCTTTGGAAGCATCAAAACTGATATAAAAGCAGTCCAGGAAACTCCTGTCTGGAGCAGGACTATGGAGGCGGTGAACAGCGCTGCTGCCGAATAGTGGTCAGTGGCTGTAGTTTGAACAAATCATTAGTCAATAAGTTGCTCATGATGATAAATTAATATCTCATACATGCCTCATATTTTTTATTGCAATGACATAGGGTACGTTGCTCCTATTATTAAAGGAATTTAGTTTTAAATTGTTGTGTCTTTGTAATGTAGAGCAGACTGGGGAGTCTGACAGAGGCTGAACAAAAATAATTATTAACCTCACCAAACGGTGTGTTGCTGCCCCTGAGGCACATTTTTATGGATTTCTATTGGATTTTTATCACTGATTAAATAGCAAGAGCACTTTCTAAACTTATATTTTACATCAGAATCCATCGATAAGGTCCTGTCTCCTCTGTACAGCACCTTTGTGGAGTCTCTCCTTGTTATTGTTCTCCGGGCATCGGGTCCTCACGTTTCACCGGCACAGCCAGCGGCACTCCATTCGCCAGCGCAACATTTTGCAAAACTGAACTGGCCCAAATGATGTCCCACACCCTTTCAGGAGTGCACAACAACGTCCCCGCTGCTGGACCAAGACGGAGACACCTTGCTTTTAGGAGTCAAACGCAGCGCTCCACAGTGGCGCGTGTGTGCAATGTTAAAACGGCACTCCTGCTCTGTGGCAGTGTTTCTGGGCAGAGTTATCAGATAGGCTATTTTATTTTATTTATTTTTAAATCTTTAATGAAATCTGGCTGACTGTGCTTAATGACAGGTTTAAGGTTTGTATATCAATGATTTTGAGACAGACATTTGCTGCACCGCAGATCCACACTGACTCAAACTTGTGTACAGGATGTCGGACCTGTCGTGAGATTTGGTTGTAGCGTACGCTCACGTGCAGATTGATAAATGCCGATCCTCACATCTAAATTTTCGCACGCAAGGTGTACGCAAGTTTTCTGCCGTACGCAAGCTTGATAAATGAGGGCCATTGTGTGTGTGTGTGTGTGCACACGTGCGTGCTGTGTGTGTAAGTGTGTGTGTCAGAACAAATGCCAGCGGCATCCTTCAGGTTGAAGGCCAGACTTTTACATTGACGTTTAGACCCTCATCAATGTCTGTCTGAGCATGCTTACACTCTGTCTGTCCCTTTCACACTCACACACAGCCTGCCTGTGTGACAGCTGGGAAGCTTCCATTGAACTGAACTGTTTTCACCTCTACTTAACCTGGCGGTAAATTTCACATAGTTGACTTACAGAAAGCGTGTAATGCCCAGGCCACACAACAAATTTGAGACACAATTATAACCCTATATGGTAGAAGGAAGGTGCCAGGACCTGGGGCCAAGTGCTTCAGCTGAATAATAGTAAATAATGGTGAACTAAGAAAGCTAGTGGTGTTGTAGCCATTTTGTCTGTTTAAAATTACAATTTATGAGTAACAACTTGATTGTCTGCAATTTTAAGTTTAAGGGATATTCTGGCGTTAAATTAATTTGGGGTCAAACACACCGTAACACTGAGTTAGACACCCCCTCGAGAGATGAATGTTGCCGACTGCTTGCTGTTCTAGTTATACGAACTTTAGTAAAGACCGCACGATAGCAATACATAGCGGTCTGAGGAGCCACCATAGACTGCATATACTATGGACAAATTGGTTCCGCCTTCCGCCTGTATACGAAGAAGCCAAAAAGCTCTGTATTTCCGGGATTTTCCTGAAACCAGCACTGCGCAGTAGTGATGCACGCATTTGGCCGCGCAGTCACCAAGAGTCGCTGTGATGACGCTCGGCTCAAACAGCGTATCCCCCGGGTGAGCTACGCAATCCCTGAACACCCAAAGGCTGTATCAGGTGTTAATCATAGCAAACATGAACCCCCTAATAACTTCTGAAAACGGCGCTTTACAGAAAAAAGAGGACTTGAGCACAAACTAGTCTTACTGTAACTACATGTCAACGTCGCAAGCAGGGAGGAAAAAATGTATGTTCTGTGTAATAAATTTCTAAAGTTTGTGCACAGCTCCATAAGCTATACTGCAGCCTATCAACAGAGGGTGCTGTTCTCGGAGTGGCTTCACCCAGAGAGGAGGCATACTCTGTCCATTCTTTATACAGACTATGGGAGCCATACACAAACCTCAACCAAAAAGCCACTCTATAGCCGCAAATAATGCTCGGAACAGCGCCTAACTTAATCAACAGTACACATAGGGTTCCAGCTATAGTACTACCCACCAAACATCTTCTTAACTTTGCCTGATTTCTTTAGCAAAGTGACTAAACACAACTCACCCACTCTCCTCAAGCAACCTCTTGTTTATAGGGAGACCTCTGACTAGTCCATCACCAAGGAAGAACATTTATGATCATTTCTTCATGGAAATGCAGTCAGACCAAGACGTTAAGGCAGAAGAACTACCACGTCTGCAGTGCACAATGATTACTATAATGATTACTTCAAGGAAATGATAAAGTAATGATCATAAATGTTCTTCCTTGAGCCACGTCACCCCACTGCAGTAATTAATTTTACACCAGAATTTCCCTTTAATTTTGATTTTTTTAATACTTGTCCAGTGTTGACGGGACTTTGTAACCATGTAAATGCTCCGACATGGATACATTTTCAGAAGTCTGGAAACTTGCCTCAGTAATCTGGAGAGTTACTATCAATAACTAACTGTATCTTAGACATGTCCAAATAATCCCAATTTCTGCTTGATATCCTCTTTATGAGGCTTTATGATTCGGTTCCAACAGAGGTAGTTGACACAAATGTCACAGGTGGCAACAGTTTCTGCCATCGCACATTTCTGAACCTCTGGAGTAAAGTCTGTGAAAGCTGGCTCAAAATCAGCTGACCTTCGATGGTGCCACAAAACATCCCTGATCAAACTCTATTTTTAACGTACCAACACCTGCAAAGTAGGGATCAGTGGCTGCCGAGGTTGATGACACTGAGCTTTCTCCAGGAGTGATGGCCATGCCAGCTGCTTCTGATAACTCTGAGGCAGCTGTGAAGTTCCTGTCCTCTGGGGTTATTTTCAGCTCTGACACCAGTGACACGCCCTTTGATTGAGGAAGCATACAGATGCCTCTGCTATATCAGACTCTAAATCTTTATAACTGCAGTTATGAGGTGTCACAGGTGTTGATCATGTTTCACTTTTTATATCAGAATCTTTATTTTCTTCTGTTGTTACTGGATGTAACAGGTGTTGCCAATGTTATACAATGTGAAGCAACATAAATCAACTGCAGTTTACTCAAGCCTGTAACCCTGAACATCTCAATTGCCCTGCTTACTTTGCTCACCTGGGGATCAGGGCTGTATCACCACAAACATTTTGCAGGTCCATAAATGTTATCAAGTCTCTTTAGTTACTCACCACATTCTCTTTGCAATGAAATGCTGGTTATGAAACTGGACAGGTACACCCTGACAATACAAGAAAACCAAGAGAGGAGGAGTGTGCAGTGGCTTGTTGAGACCTTGCTGAGTTTTTTGTCTCCTCAAGGGAGGAAGAGGGAATCAGAATCAGATTTATTGGCTAAGTAGGTGTACACATAATCTGACTCCAGTAAACTTTGCCCTCTATGTACAAACACTAAACAAAAAATGTTACAAAAAAATTATAAAGTATGTTCCAGCTCGAAGTAGACATTTAAGTTATATGTTCGTACACTTCCTGTCTACAGACGTGCAATGTCTACAGTGACTGTAGACAATGGTGCTACCTGATTGGGCCTCCCGACCGTAGACTATTGAATCACGCACTGATGTCAATGTTGCGGAAAACAAATCAGATGGCCATGACAAAAGACAACCACTCGGACAACCTTGACTGTAGACAACCTGTCGGACAGCGCTAAGCAAATTAAAACATAGATGAGAAACAGTGGAGCGATAAATGCACTAGCAAAATGTCCATGTTCCACTAATAAGTGATTTATTCCCCCTGGATAGTTATTCTGACGTAAGATGCTTTGTGCCACTTTAAAGAGTGCAGTGGAGTATATAGCTATAGGTCTTTAAGTATACTGCTGTTGGCTGTATTTAGTCACTTTACCCCTTTCATACAGTGCAGCTTGAATTAATTGCCTCAATGACATAAAAATAGGTCAGTTCCCTTGTTAAAGTGTCGTGTCTCAGGAGCTGTTCAACAAGTTTTCCCTTTATGCCTACTTTTTTTCTACAACCACCAAACCCCCTCATCTCATCATCTTCTGTTTGTGTTTATATATTTTTCCTTCCCCTTCTTATTTGTCTATTCTGTTCCTTTCTTGTTGTCATTGCAATGCTTACCCTCATGGTGTCTTCCCTCATGCCTTCTGTGCAATAAATTTAGACAATGGCTTTTGTGAGGTTGCTCTCTATAGGCCCTCTACTTCTTCACCCAATTAACTCCTCAAACCATGTTCTGCAATTCCCTACCTTCCCTTTCCGAGCCTTTCTTTTCTTATCTTCACTCTACATGTAGCTGTGTTGCCTTCTTGAATGTCATTCCTCCTTTTAAATGACACTTTCTCAAATACTCCCATTAGATTCAAAAACACAATGGGTTAAGGGGAACAATACATTGGTAACACTACCTGAAAACAGAAATGCAGAGGTGTTTTGAATGAGTCCCATTATAACTTCTCTCCTCAAACAAATGAATTTATTGCTTTAAAGACTTTTTTTTTTTTTTTTTTACCAAAAGAGCCTCAAGGAAGTCATTTCTGTAGATAATCAATCTAGTCAGTCCAACTTGATTTCACCAAAGTGTTACAAATCTATAGAGTGGTTTTAGGATGTCAAAAGTTTCTTTGACATTAGGAATTGCTGAAACTGTTCAAATGAAAAACTCAGCACAAGGTTGTTCTTCCAGTGTGAAATCAAAGATCTGCAGCCTATTTTTTTAATGTAATATAAACTCATTTGATAGATGGACTTAAAATATATTTTTCTAGCTTTGTGAGGACTCAAGGTAGGGCTGGGCGATATGGCCTCAAATCAATATCACAATATATTGAGCAGTTCACCTCAATAACGATAAATGGACGATAACTACTCTACAAGCTGCTCACCCCCTCCCACATTACCTTTGTCTACTTCAGCCGCCGCTCCAACCTTTTAACCGTCCTCCATCTCCTCACCTGTCTTACCTCTTTGTTACAGACTGGATGGGGTGGAGTCACATCTCTGATGTAGGACAGTATCTTATAGGGACATGACACCATAGCCTGCCTACACACATCCAAAACCAATTTTTATTTATTATTTTGACACTGAAGATACAGATATGGGCAAAATGACGTCGGTTATTTTCGTAAATTTCGGTATCGGTAAATTATCACCCAGTCCTGACTCAAGGTGGACAGAACACATCTTTGCAAGAAGTGGTGGTGGCCAAAAAACAAATCAAGTTTTCTAGAAGCCTAAACAAAAAAGGGGCAAACTCAAATTTCCTTAATAGGTCAGTGTGTTTATAGAGTGGGTTTTCAATGTGAAGATATGACATCTCTACTGTCAATTATTTTTGATGAGTGATGCCAGTATTTGGGTCCTGAGTCATTAGTTTTTCAGCTGTCAAAGTGCCATATTAACCTTTAAGCTCTGCGACTCTATATTCAGATCTACTTTTTCAAAAAGCCTGTAGAGGAAATTTAAAAGAGGAACTACCATCTCTGGTCTTTGGGCTCGGTTAAATGAAGTAGTATTTCACATGAAAACTGTGGAGAACTAATTTTACGTCAAATTGCAAAAAGTGAACAGATACACAAACCAGTGTAAAGCCCACTTTTAGTAATTGGGCATATACAGTTTTAATTCTTCATAATAAGAGCCTCAACAAAACTCAAGAAGCCTGCTGTGCAGTCACACACACACACACACACACACACACACACACACACACACACACACACACACACACACACACACACACACACACACACACACACACACACATACACATACACTTGTGTAATACACTGTCAGGATTTGAAAATTACAGCCAGTTACAGGGGGATAGTGGTGCTTCAGGAGAGGAACGTAGATACATAGAAGACAAGAGGGAGGGAGAGTATAATGCTGGGGAGGAGAGGGGATTACGAAGTGCTGACCTTGGATCAGCAATGATGTCAGAGGTCTGAGTGAACAATTGCGGCTCATGCTGGTTCTTGGGGAGAGGCCACAACTGTGTTAACCCCTAAAGATTTAGTTGTGGAAGTCTGACAAATTAAGTCCATTGAAGGGCAAGAGCCCCTATCTATCTATTCACTTGTACTAGTCCTTGTTGGACTAACATTTAAATATTGGAGTGGTCCTGATTCTTATGGCGTCATTATTCTTATAATAGTGTGATTCCAGTTCTTACACTATGTGTTCTATGACAATGTACAATGTGTTTGTCACATAATTTGTCTACATTTATTTATTTTTTCTTTTTTGTATTACTTCTAAAAAAGGAATACCAAAAGATAATAAATAAATGAATTATTACTAATATAAATCAAAATGTTTATCCACAAATATTAAAGTACTGAATGGTTTCGACTACAATACGTGTTTGAACTCAGTTTATAAAAAAAAATGATGATTGTATTTCTTACAAAATAAAGAGGTATTAGTTGGGTATTAGCTCTCGAACAATTTATACTCATTAGTGCTCTCACCCATTCCAAGTTGTAAAGTAAAATTATATGACCAGCACAAATAGTTAACCATATTTTTTAAGAAGTTTTTTTGTCATCCTATGACCTTTAAAAGAAAACTAGACCATCAGAAACATGATCAGATCCAAATTCAACTTCATACATTATCGTCCTATGTCCTAAATTAATGCACAGCTTGAATTGTGGCTTTGTGGATATATGCCATACCTCCACCCCTCTTTTATTCTCATCCCCCCATTAATGTTCCCCTTTCAGATTATGAATGAACAACTTGTTCTCTTTAGTTCAAACAGTCAGCCTTGACTACAGCTTCTCTCAGCAAGGAGTCTCCTACTGACAATCAGCAGTATGGCAGGTCACAGTGAGCCATTTTTAATGTTAGTTATCTTTGCATCTTGTCATGATCACATAATACTAAGAGGTGTGGAAAATGATGTGCTTTGTTGTGATTCCATGTTACATTCTTTTTGAACAGAGGTTAATTCAACTGGTTATATTGTGTGGTATATTTCTGTATGGTGTTTCAAATTTGTGCCCCTTTGAGCTAACTTTAAGAACCTGCCTCTCCAAAAGTCTCTGCACAGCCCTGCACTACCCTACCAGAACCAAACACTGCACAGGAAAATTCACAAGTATGTTGGTGTTGAGTGAAATATGACCCTAAGTTTGTGTGAAGCTCAAAGAGCAGAAGTAAATCAAGTCATTTTTTCCCTTTTTTGCTCACATCAGTTTGCCAAAAAAAAAAAAATATATATATATTTTTAAAATACTACTAATGTCGCCCAACGTCTGGTATAAGCTGCTATGAGGCTGTTTTCATCCCAATCGAACTCAAACTGGTGAAAAGGTAGAGGCAGACTATGAGAGAAAGTTACAGGGAGCTAATGATGGAGCCTTTCTAAATTTGTTGCACCAGGGGTGCTGTGAGACCAACCTCACAGTAATGAAGGTCCATGTTAATTGAAGCCTCCGATTAATCAGCCTGGCTGCAAAGAAATCCAATTAGTCTCACATAATATGAGCTTTACAGACGTACACCAGTGTCAACAGCTGAGTATACTCTGACCTGATACATCCCTTTGAAGATGCTGAAAATGTTTCCACAGCTGACACAGAAAACTCTGTTCAATTAAACTGATGTTAGAAATACCAACAACACTGCATGTTCTCTTGGTAATGTCAACGTCCATTTTTGTATGTGAAAGTGTTTTTGGGCTGGTCTGTTCGAAAGTCTTTATAGGCTAGATGTACCAAAATGTACAGAACAGGGGGATAATATATCCATAAATATTACACATCTGCTAGTCTGTTCTGTTCCCTGTATGAAATATAAATATTAATTAATTGCTTTTGCTTTTGCATTGCCCTGGCTTAGGTAATGTACAACTTAAAAGTTTTATTTAGAAAGTTTCAGACAATTATAATTG